GCGACTGCGCCCAGTTAGGGCTCTCCAGCAGCGCAGCATCCTTGTGGGTGCGGCCTCGGGCGGTTTCCCTTCTCCGGCTCCTTCCGACCCGTCGCCCAGCCCCGCTTTTCGGTACGGCGCTTGGTGGCTGCCCAGCCCCGTGTGTTGCTGGGTTTGACCCTGCCCCCCCCCGCGGAACAGTGCCTTAAAACTGCTCTGAAAACGTAGGTCCTGCCTTGTTTGGTTGTTGGGTTTTTTTTTTTTCCCCCAACAATTTTTTCCAAATTCGCCTTGGAGATTCAGCAGATTTTGCTTGCTCACGGTGATGCCCTCCTGCTGCTCCCATTCCTTTGTGTTAGCATGTGTACCCCCCTCCTTTTGTGAGAGCTGGGGGTTCAGTCCTTGCCATTCTGTGGACGCTTAAAAATTTACAGAGATGTGGATTTTTATACGTAGAAATTAAGGCAAGGGGTCGTGTTTCATTACTGCCTTTCATTAAATCCCCTTACCACAGCAGAATCTATTGACTAAATATCTTTTTTTCATTTGAATTTTCCTTTCTGTCTTTCTGTATGTTCCCCTAAACTCTTCTGGGTGAAGTTAAATGCCTGGCTACACTTCATTAAATACTTAACCAATGCTGGTATTTTTGCTGCCAAGTGTGGAAATAAATTGTCAGACCAAAAAGATGCTGGTTGCTGCTGTAGCAAAGCACAGAAACGGCCTCCTGTTTTTCATGCTAGTGATATGAGGGATGCTAAAGACTTTTAGTTGTATTCAGATATGTCCCAGTAAGTACAAACAATAAGTGTTATTCTTATATCTCTTATGGGGGGAAGAGTAATCTAGCTGGCTAATAAATTTCATAGCAAGTGTTGATACAGGGCAAGAAGAGATGGCCTATTGTAAGTTGTCTTGCGTGTTTTTATGAAATGAATAAATAAGGCCTATTTCTTATCTCAACTTCAAAATAAAATGTAATAACAAGTATGAAACCCTCAGCCATTTCTTTAGCTGTTTTTGTATTATCTCTCCACTCTGTTGAAAACACACAGGAAGAGTAAATACCCTTAGCTACTCAGTTTCCATGTTTATCAACGCTACTGCTTGCTGCTAATGTTTTTCTGTTGCATTTGGTAGATAAAAACCTATTATTAATTATGACTTCTTGATTAGTGCCTGGAAGTTTAAAAAAAAAAAAAAAAAGACATACTAATTCTGGGTTTCTTCCCTCTTTGGGTGTAAATTGAGTGTTTGACTCTTGCTCTCCCTTGTTAGGGCTGTAGCAGGGAGATAAAGGGATAATCTCCCAGACCTTGTATTTTTGCTATCCAGAGTTAAGTGTAAAATAAACATTTCTTTAAAATGCAACTTGAAATGCTGGGTAGAAATTGGAAGACCCTGAACTCTCATGAACCATATTGTCCTTAATAAACATGCTCATTTTAATTGGCTATATTTTTGCTATCCACATAAATTGAAGTGAAATGTTTCCCTCTGCTTGAATTGTCAAAAAAATAAATATAACTGGGTGGATTGCTCTTGAATGCAGTGCTAGACTTTTCAATAAAGACATACATTTAAAGGGAGCACTGATGTTGGTACTATCTGTACCGAATAAGGTTTATCACACAGCAGAATGATAGTTGTCCCATCTTCGGAAATGTTCTAGAGTGAAAGCCTAGAAAACTGCTCATAAACAAGGACCTGGTTTGTGTTTTCAAGTGAATTCTCAGTGCTAAAGAAAAGGAAATTCTCTGATAGAATGATACTCTGCATTGAGAGTCTGGTTTTACATCAATGTAATGTTTGTCAATATCTCCCAGAGTACTACTTTAACTGATAATTAAAACTACAAGAGCAAATGATAACCGGTGCAGTACACACAAAAAACCCTCTACTTTTTCCTAAATTGTTAATGCTAAGCTCCTTGAAAAGTAATAATAAAGAATAAGACCAAATCTGTTTAAGAAAATACTGAAGTAACTTTCGGTCATGATTCATTTGGCAGCTTTCAACCAATTTTTAGTTTTCTGTAGCTACCTTTTCACTGGTGATGCTTACAGAGTTTGAATCACTGAAAAGATGAGTTGTACTGCAGCCTGCCTTAGGCATGGAAAAGAGGTCTAGTCAGTATGTGATGTGAAAGATGTCATTGTGAACAGTGGTTTTATTTTTCTGTCGTGGTTTAGCCCCAGCCGGCAGCTCAGCACCACGCAGCCGCCCGCTTGCTCCCCCCCACAGTGGGATGGGAAAGAGAATCAGAAGAGTAAAAGTGAGAAAACTCGTGGGTTGAGATAAAGACAGTTTAACAGGTAAAGCAAAAGCTGCACACACAAGCAGAGCAAACCAAGGAATTCATTCCCCACTTCCCATGGGCAGGCAGGTGTTCAGCCATCCCCAGGAAAGCAGGGCTCCATCACGCCTAACAGTTACCTGGGAAGACAAACGCCATCACTCTGAACGTGTGTGTGTGTGTCCCGCTGCCTCCTTTCCTTCCTCTTCCCCCAGCTGTATATGGATACATCGTATGGTATGGAATATCACTTGGGTCAGCTGTCCCGGCTGTGTCCCCTCCCAACCCCTTGTGCACCCCCAGCCATCCTGCTGGTGGGGTGGGGTGAGGAGCAGAAAAGGCCTTGGCTCTGTGTGAGCACTGCTCAGCAGAAACATCCCTGGGTTAGCAACGCTGTTTTCAGCACAAATCCAAACCATAGTCCCATGCTAGCTACCATGAAGAAAATTAACTCTACCCCAGCCAAAACCAGCACATTTTCTTAAAATGTTCTTGACAGTAGTGACCATGATCAGTAATAATTTTCTTAAAAAGAATTGACCTCAGCTCCTATATAGAGTGATTTGCCTACTGACAATGAATGAAGGCACAGTATTAGTAGTCTCCCCTTCCAAAATAGTCAAATGAGCTTTCGTAGTATAGGATGTACTTATTATGAAACATAACAATAAAAATAAAATGTAGGACCTTGTGGAGTTGCTGAATGAAAATTTCATCGTGTGTCTTTGAAGAGGGGAATTTCTTTCCCTTACAAAGTGTTGAGACACTTGAGGATTTTCCTCAGCTGGCAAGCAGGGTCCAGGCTAGGAATTGTGCTTCTGTTTTGCTCTCCCTCTCCTTCCAGGGTGCATTTTCACAGACAACCTTCAGCAGCTACGAGTTTGCACAGTTGTCAAAAGATCTTGTGCCCTGCTTCCAACCAACAGTCCTTTCCTGCCTTAGAGGAGCCCCTAGATCTGAGTGGATTTGGTTGAAAACTAATCTCTTGGGAGCTAGAGTGTCTGGAAGGTGCATGATTGTTAGTTGTTCAGAAGAGAAGCAGCAATTTAACATCAGTTTAAGTTTATGGGGGATCTCTATTCTTAAACCTTTCAAGGTGAGAGTGGGATCTTTTTGGAGTCAGAGCCTCTGTTCTGACTTTGGAGATTGTGAACTTTTTTGTTAGTGTGTATTACTATGTTACGTCTTTGCATACATGTGTCCCTCCCGAGCACTGAGCATCCTTTTCTTGGGGTGTTGCTTTAGGCTTTCCAGGCATGGACCAACAGATCGGTGATATGTGATGTAGGTCCCTGCTACTCTCTCCTCCACTTTTATAGGAGTTACTGTCTTTGTGGGTGTGCAAAAAATTTTGCAGACAAAGATGATCATAGCCTGATCCAAACTGAAAACACACTGTGCTGTGTTTTGAAGTAATGGTAAAGTTTTCTTGGTGAGGAAGCTGGGTAAAATTGTGCTTCTCTGGAAGAAAGGTGAGAAATTAAGTAGGAGTGGAATTGAAACACTTTCGTTTTCATGTGACTTGCAATATTCCTTTTTTTTTTGTTATTATTATTTTAACCAATATGCTTTTGATGGAAGGATGTTAACTATTCTTTTATCCCTTTCTTCCTATTTAGCTTGGTTTTACTCTTGGCAATGTGGTTGGGATGTATCTGGCTCAGAACTATGATGTAAGTATCCTTGTATTCTCAGAGTTGAACCTATTCTGAACTGAAATATAAGGCCCTCAATCAGATTTGATTCAGTCTTTGTTTTGATGTTTTATTGTATTTGAACAGAATGCAGATCTTACTGACTTTAGTTATAGATGAACTCAAATGTAAATGGAACCAAAACTCTGTATTGTCTGTGGTAGAGTAATGCTTGAGCCTTAACTGATGTTGGGGCCCTAGAGCACAGATATGGTAACCAGACCTCTACATAGATAGAGGTAGGAGAAAAAGAGAACAAATGGGACCAAAACTCTATATTGTCTGTGATAGAGTAATGCTTAGAGCCTTGACTGATGTTGGGGCCCTAGAGCACAGATGTGGTAACCAGACTTCTACATAGATAGAGGTAGGAGAAAAAGAGAAGGTTTAGCAGCTGCTCACGGCTTGTACCAGCATTAAAGTACTAGTTTCCTGACTGGTAGCCTGTCTGCTTACAGTGTTCTGTAACCTGTTTGTTACTTAAAAATCCTTCAGAGCATCTGAAATTTCTGTCTTCTGTATCAATAAAGAAAATAAGGTTTGCCAGCTTTTTTTAAAAATTCAGTACCAGCTCCTACTTCAAACAGTGTATCGACCTGCAATCTTTCTTTCTTTCTTTTCTCACAGTGAGAAAGTGCCACTTAGCTGTTTTTAGGCTAGAGGAGTAAATTAAACTTAACATTTTTTTTTTTCATTTCTTGTGCAATCTGTATTAGCCTAGTTTAAAAAAAAAGCTGTTGAGGCTCAAATCTCTGATGACATTTATGTTTTGCTTTTCTCTTGTCTTCAGTTCTGAAGTCATCTTGCTAGCAGAATTCTTATTTTTTGCTTCTTGCTTATGTGCACACTTTTGTGATGCCTCCTGTCTGGTCACTCCAATAAGGGTACTAATAAAAAGCTTGTATTTCTTTCCAAAATATGTTTTACAGTGTTATGAAAATGTAGTCATAAGAACATATTGGGGTGTATCAATATGTATTGTAAGCATGTTATAGTGCTTTTCTGGCAGCACTAATAAAGTATTGCCACAAGAGGGGGACTTACGCTTTTGATTTGCAGGAAATGGTTCCCTGGGAATGTAACATTGACTTGCAGTATGAACATGGCAATTGTATTGCTGGTTTTGAAGATGATTTGGTTTAGATGACATCTAAGATAAACTTGTCATAATGAGGTCCTAATTCTACAGCTGTACCCACATGTGCTTAGTTATAAGCACATGGAGGGTTCTGCTGGCAGCAGAGGAGTTCTCTTGGTTTAGCTTAAATGTCAGGCGTGTTAAGGGCTGGGCTATTAATTTCATTTGCTCAGACAGAGCTTAACTTTGAAAGGGAAGGTAAGAGAGAAACTGTAGTATCAGACTCAAACCATCCAATGGGAGCCCTGCAGTCTGGATTAACTCTGCTCTGTGGGCAGGTTACATATGATGTAAAAGCCCATGATCTTTTTCACAACTGCCAGTAGGAACTTTGCTTTACATTCATTTAATCAGTTAGCTTGTGAAATCCTATGTTGTCAATTCCCAGTTTTAGCTAGACTCATGAGACAATCTGTTCCCTGCAATTAAAAGTTGCGGGGTTGGTGGGTTTTTTTTTTAAGTTGCCGAAATTTACTGTTGGATTGCTTTATGAAAATGCTTCTATTTGCAAAAGAAAGCTGAAGGTTTGAAATTGACAAGCAGTAAATTCAATTTTCATTCAAGTGTGAAACTGCAAAAGGTTACCAATTTGCAATGCAGTAGAATTCCCCAGTGGGAATTTGGTTCCCACAAAATGGACCAGGAGAAGTATTTCTTCATAAATTTCTTGAGACCGTAGTTGCTGCTCTTAAACATCTCTTTTATCTTGTTTTGTGACCAGTATAGTGCAATCTAATTTCCACTCCAAAAGTCATTATTAAAGTCTGTGCACCAGAGTTTAAATCAGCTTAGTCTTTGGCGGTTTGTCCTCTTTCAGTGGGGAAGCCAGACTGGTCTTACTAAATTTCCTGTGAAGTGATCTCTTTTCCTCCCTCCTGTTCCTGTCACCACTGGCTGACTTTTAGTCTTAACATCCTAAAATATTTCCTGAAGCCCCATGTTAGGTGCTTTCATCTGCTGTTTGTTTGATGTTACTTTGTTTTTAACCTCTGTGCAAAGTAACAGATCCTGGAAGCAAGTATCTTTTAGAAACCAATTTAAACTTAATAGAATTTCTTGCAGTGTTTATGGTATTGTCTTTCCTGCTCATGTCACTCAGGATTTTTTTTTAATTTGTGTGGGTTTTGTTTGGTTTTTTGCTTTTGTCTTTAAAGATTCCTAACATTGCGAAGAAGCTTGAAGATTTTAAGAAGGATGTGGAAGCTAAGAAGAAACCTCCCAGCGACAAGTCCTAAGAGAGCAATGTTACCCAGATCACCTCTGTGCATGCATCAAGGATGCAATTTACCTTTCAGGCAACAAAGATCAAGTAGAGGGTTGGCATGGGATGTTCCTCCACTTTTAGTCTTCTAGGACTGGAATGGAATGTCCTTCTTTTGAAAGAGCAGCCGTGAACTTTCCCTGGGACTGATTTTCAAGGGTTTCAGAATTTGGATTTGCAGCTGATACGTGACTGGATAAGGTCGTTTGTATTTGTCATTATTGCTTTTCCTAATATTTTGTAACCTATTTTTACCTGATCCAACTGGAGTCCTTTTGGTCCTGTTCCTATGCGTACCTCACACTTTGTAACACCCTAGTTCTTAGAACATCGCAAAAGAAATTAAATGCATTAAGAAGTAACTTTCAGGTTTCTTGTCATTTGTTGTGAGCAGCAGTACTTCACTGTCCTTAAGATCCTTATTCCATTATCAGAGATAGGAAAGTTCATTTGTCAAACTATGAATCTGGAGGAAAGGGGAAGCTCCTGCTTTTTCCATTATGTTAAATGATCACTTCCACCAGTGTAGACTTTGCAACAACATGGCTGATTTCAAAAAGGGTAAAAGGCTATCAACTTTAACCTAGGTTTCAAATTAGTTGTTTCTTCTATTATTGTCTCTTATTCTTCTTTCCCTTCTGCTTGGTTGCTTGACGATGTCTCTGGAGTGATTGGGAGGATAGGAAAGAGAAGAATTATGTCCCATAAGTGGTAACTGGGGCACCTGAAGGTCGGCGGTTACGTTGCGAATCCAAACCATTCACTCTATGTACATAATGGTCCAGTTTGTGTAATTGTTCTAAGTATGCTTTTTAACTGCCTTTTGGTGTGGAGTAAGGACTAGACATGTCTGGTATTCCCGTTACTTCCTCATTCCTGTGCATGGTCTTCAGCCCATTGCCTTTGCATTTGATTCAGTTGTCTGCCATGCATTTTCTTAGGATTAGAACCATTTATCTGCTGTCCCCCTTATTGTCTGTCCAGTATACTCCTCTTCACCCATTGCTGCCACTAAAAGCCCTAGTGTGTGAGAAAATGCAGCACTGTCCTCTTCTGTTGAAATGGAAAGCAAAGTCTGCATTTGGAAACCATTTTTTGCACCATTTTTTTTTGCATTTTTTTTATTCTGTTGTAAATTCTGAAGAAAATATTGCAGTTATTTGAATAGATCAAAGTTTTATTTGATAGATTGTTGAATTAAGATTATTTAACTTTTTTTTCGGTAAAATAGGAGAATCCTATCAACTGTGTAAGGTGACTGAAATCACTAAGTCCCCTCGACAGTCTTTTGCAGAACATGAAGGACAAATTATCTATCTTTGCTACTAAATACACCAATCACAGTAAAATTACTATAGACTCTCTGCTTTTTTTAGCTCTACTGAAATTGGATTATTTTCCTTCTTTTCATTGCTAATTTCAAGGATAGGTACCAGAAAGATATTCTCCTTGCTTTTAGTAACAATGTCCGGTGATGGACTGCTACCGACAAGTAGGAGGAACAAGCACAGAGAAAGACCTCCTCCACTCCTTCAGGCTCTTGATTAAAGGATACCTAGAGTGCTTCTCCATCAGTGTTTTAGGTAGGATAAGGAGTGTGGCTTCAAAATGACGTATCCTTTTACCATGTTTTTGTTCTCATCACAGGAAAACTGTAGAGCACGTGGACTGGATTCTTTTCAGAAGAGACTAAACCAGAAGATGTGCTTTAATCTCTAATGGGTGTTTAGTCCATGAAACAGGCCTAGAGACTTTCAGAGGGAAAATATCCCAAGCTTTGGACACTATTTGGCTCTGTAGACCCTGTGGACTGCACTGCTTGAGATAAACATAGCCTGAATGCTTTTAAGTACAGGACTCCCCATGTACCCAGTGTAATTTTCACCCTCTATCCCAAACCCATTCAGATACATCTGCATGGGTTCCAAGCTCGGGAGATTTCACTGAGTCAGCAAGGACACATTTACAGAATACCTTATGCCAAAATTTTGCCTCCTTTTCCAAAGTTTGGTAATGGCAGAGTTCTTCCACAATGAATTCCTGCAATTGAGGAAAGTATTTCTCATCTAAAGATTTTCTTTCTTAAATAATATAAATTTATAAGAAATATTTCACCTGCAACTTCCCATTCTTCCTTTTACCGTCTACCCTGAAATGTGTAGCTGACATAAAAGCTTTCAGTCTTTGCTAATGAATATTTGGCAAGTTTAAAAACCACCTCAAGACAGACAATCCAAGTAGCTATGCTACCAGCTCTCCCTATAGTAAACACTCAAACTCAAAACAGGGAGAAATTATTTTGACCACCTGACATTTAGTTGTTAGAAACATTATGGTAGCAGTATGTGTTTAAAGATGCCAAGAATGTGCTTGGTGAAGGGAGTTCACATATAAAGTACAGCCACATTTAGCTATTGGTGTAGTAGTAGCGTACACTCTGGAATTTGAAAGGCATTTCGATTAGCTTTCACAGACTTCAGACCAGACTGAAGTAACTGTCTTCTGCACAAAAAAAACTTTTCCATAGAGTGAGACGGCACTACACAGCTGTTTCAATGCTTTCATGAATGGTGATGAACTTTGTTTCCCCCAGCTTCCCTTTCTCCCCCGCCCTGTTCTTTGTTTAGTGTTCTTGAGCAGAGTATTGGAAAAGACTGGCTCCAACCCATTTGTATTTCTTTGCCTGTCATATACAATTATGTTAGTGTTTAAAATTGGATTATTTCTTTCCTCAAATGTGCTTTATGTTCCTCCCTTTCTTTACACAGAGATAAGAAGGGAAATAATATTCAAAATCTCTATATTTGTTGCCAAAAGGGCCTGTGTTACTCTAAAAGTATAATTTGGAGCTGAAACTTTCAGCTGAGCATTCCAAGCAGATGTTGCAATTTTTTTTCCTATCAGATTTTGAAGTGAACCAGCTACAGCTGTAGTGCTATAGAAACAATATATGCTCATTAATATTAATGACAGGACTTCTGAAGTGTTTCACACTGTTTGCAACACATTTTAGCTCAAGCTGTCTTTTTTGTCCCATGTAGTAAGCTGGAGAGTTGGATAACATAACACAATTCTTGTTTATTTTGCAACTACTGTATAACACACTTTACCTAACTGATTCAGCCTGAGACTATCCTAGACAGTACTAAAGGTTAACCTTATATTTCAGAGGGCAGAGAGTACAGATGGGTAATGACTGCTTGATGCAGATCTTGCATCTGAAGGCTCAGAGGGACTTTGGATGCAGTGCTGTAATAGCAGGTGACTCAGGATGAATGCACTTTCCCGATGTGAATATATGAAATGCCAGATAGCAAAGTTAATTATTAGCTTACTGGGCACCACAGCTCAAATAAAGACAGTGGTTTTACCTCACAGAACTTCACTAACATGAATGCTCAGTGGTGCCATTTTATGTCATGGAACCACAGCCCCTTGTCTCATGATGTGTGCTCCATCCCTTGACCTTTGTGGCCCTTGGGCAGGACTCGGTCCAGTATGCCCATATGCTTCTTGTACTGGGGAGTCCAGAACTGCATATAGCAGTTCAGATGTGTTTTACCAGGGCTAACAAGAGGGGAAGGATCACCTCTCTTGACCTGTAGAGGATGCTTTGCCTAGTGCAGCTCAGGATGCTGTTGAGCTTCTTTGCCTCAAGGGCACATTCCTAACTCAAGTTCAACTTGTCTACCAGGACCCCCAGATCCTTTTCTACAAAGCTGCTTTCTAGCTGGTCAGCTCCAGCTTGTACTGGTGTGGGGGATTATTCCACCTCAAATACGGGACCTTGCACCTCCTTTTGTTGAATTTCATAAAATTTGTGTCAGTCCATTTCTCTGGCCTGTGAAGGTCCTTTTGAATGACAGCACAGCCATCTTGTGCATCAACCACTTCTCCCAGTTTCGTATTGTCTCCAAACTTACCAAGAGTGCACTCTGTTCTATTTCCCAGACCGTTAATAAATATGCCAGTGTTCAATAATTCAATATTGGCCATGGTATTTTCCCTTGGGGTACACCACTAGAGACTGGCCTCCAGCTGGACTTTGCAGTGCTGACCACAACCCTTTAAGCGCAGCACTTCAGCCAGTTTTTGATCTACCTTACCGTTCACTTACCTAGTCCATGCTTCCTCAATTTGTCTGTGAGGTTGTTGTGGAAGGCCACATCAAACGCCTTGCCACACAACGTACATTGTTCTCCTCTCATCCGCCAAGTGAGTTATTTTGTCGTACAAGTGCCAGGCTGGTCAGGCATCATTTCCCCTTCATTAATTCATGCTGATGGCTCCCAATCCATCACTTTCTTTTCCTTCATGTATTTGGAAACAGCTTCCAGGAGGATTTGCTCCATCACCTTCCCAAGGATTGATGTGTGACTGACCAGCCTGTGGTTCCACAAATCTTCTTTCTTGAAGATAGGAGTGACATTTGCTTTCTTCCAGTCCTCAGGGGCCTCCCTGGATCACTACAACCATTCAAAGACAATAGAGAGTGGCCTCACAGTGACACTGGCCAGCTCCCTCAGCACTTCTTTTAGATTTCCTCTGGCAGCTGGTATGCCTATAGAGGCCTTTGGCTCCTGATTTTGTAGCAAGAAGGGCCTCTATAGGCCTCCCAGGTGAGGCTGGCTGTGGCCATTAAGGCACTCAGGGCCCTGGCATTGGCTTTCCTAACCCTATCCAAGTCAGTTAAATCACTAGTACCTCCAGCTGCCTTCTGTAAAAAATGGGTTATACTGCAGAGAAATTACTCAAGGACTGGGAAAAGTTTAATAAATCCAACTCTTTTTCTTTATGTTTTTAGGCAGCATCATCTACATCAGAAACTTTTATTATGAATTCAGGTAAAGATACGTGACTCCTGTTAATGTGTCGCTCTTCACGGTGATTCTGTTGAGTAAACTCACAGTTCCGATGAACTCTGATGAGCTGTAGTGGTGATCTGGCAGCACAGGACATTTCTTAGTGGTGATGTTGTGGGGAGTTGTGATATTGCTTGAAAAATATATTGCCTTTGTGAAGGCAAAATTTTTTCCACTGTGGTTCTCCTTTGTGGTTCTCCTTTGTCCTGTGGTTCCGGCGGCTGTGTGCACCACCAGCTGTTACGACTCCTCTATCTGTGCTTTCTTGGAGAGATTTGTTGTACATGTAGAGCATCTGGAAATGTGCTTTGAAGGGCCCAGATTACAGATGGCCCTTAGATTACTGCCGAAATTGAAATGTTGCAAAGGAAGAAATTGGAATTTTCAAAATTAATAAAGAGTTGATTTCATAAGCCTAGATTATATCTGTGTTTGCAGAAACATGATTGTGAATTGGTATTGGCATGTAAAAATCAATATCTGCTGTATGTGATGCAGAATTATTTAGAATATTAGGAAGCGATGGTGGATATTGGAGTGCAGATGTCATTGGTAAACTCCATAGAAAAATTTCCTGTGCAGCTCTTTTTATTTTTGCCTCAGAGGGACAAGAAAGAGATACTTAGTTCTATTTGTTACACTTCTTGGTGGTATTTGCAAACTTTAACTTTACAAAGTCCCAAGCCAAGATCATTTTTATTGAATTTGTATTGCAATAAAATAGCTATGGAGGTTATTTGCTTTTTCACCTGAAACATACGTTAATCACAGACGGTCAAATTTACTTTCTGGAAAAATAAAACAATTTTCATAAATTGCCTTCAGAATAGATGTTCCTGCCAAAGTTGATTCCAACTTTAGTCTTTAGTACATCTGGAAAATACCTAAATACCCCATTCCTGTAGTTCACCAACTCAAACCATAACTACGTGTGTAACTTTCCTACCCTGTGAGCCCAAATGCTGGAGTGGAACATGCTGTTGGTTTTCTGTGTGAAAACAGGAATTCCACAGCATTTCATCACACTGATTAGAGCTCTTCTCTGACAGCTGCAACTTTGGGTTCAAAGATGCAACTCAAGTAGTAAGATACTAATCAATGGATCTAAAAAAAAAATATAAGGGCCTGGTTTAAATTATATTATTCACCTTTTCTGCAAGCCAGAGTGAATTGAACAACCAGTGTACGAGTATTAAGTACAGCTATCATGTTCTGCTTTTTTTCCTGAGAAATAAAACAATACTCTATATCAGCTACAGAATGAAGAATTTCTCAGTATAAATCACCTCAGTTAACTTCAGTTAAATTGTTCAGGTTTTATATCACTGTAAAAAAAAATATATGTAGCCTTAATAGGATTCTAGTAAAAGGTAATATAAAACTGTAAGATAAAATAGTATACTCCTGCTAGTTAATGTGATTATACTTTTTGTGCAGGAATCTTAAATTCTGGGCTGAAAGCAGGACTTTTGTTTTTAGGACTTGATGTATGTGTTGAATGTTGAAAGCATCTGGAAATTACTTAATCTGAAATCAGGCTTCTCTCCCCTCTGAACAAAATACTTCAGCTTTGGTTATTGCTGGAGGCAAATCTGACAGTACGCTATAAATTACCAGTGAAAATTTCCCAATTGTTTGTCCACTTGCCATTTATTTTAATAATAAAAAAAAAGCAGCAGTCAGCACCCATTGCTGTCACACTATGAGCCATGCAGCTTGCCCAACCCTAAGCTTGTTGTTCATCAGCTGCTATTTTCCTTTGTGATGCTCAGATTCTGCCACTAAATACTTTCTCATGTATTTTCTTATGTCTTCAGTGAAATGAAAGGAATCATACATTATGTCTAAAGGCAGAATCCGGCTGTGGTGCATGCACTGACTGGTCTGATAGGGAAAACGGGCCGGCACAGCACACTGCCTTCCTGCAAATGCCTGGTGGGACGTGGCAGTGACAAGTGCCAGCAGCTGTGGACGTGGAAGTCTGCTGAGAGCCCCGATGCAGAAGGGAAGGCTGCTGGGGAAGCTCCTTACCCAAGTCCACTCCAAATTTCTCTGCACCAATCTCATGGGACACAAACTATGCCAAAGACTCTTGGAAACGTTTCTGAAGAAATATTCCTTGAGATGTGCAACACAGCACCAAGTAATTTCTATTTAACTAGTGCTATTGGTGTTATTACCGAAGAGTGTTGGTGGCTACCCTGTTTGATTTGTGAGTAATCCTAGATCTCCCTAAAGCTGATTGATTGGCATGCCAGCTGCTCCTCTGTCTTTCAAATAAGAATATCCCGTGTTCATATCCCCTGGGAAAGGTGTGGGATAGCAAGGCTTGATGGGAGCTGAGCTGAGCCAAGAACTAAGTATTAGGAGAGTGGAGAGTGATTTGTTGCTGAGCAGCTAGGCAATTCGAAGATGATGGTGGATGAAGTGTGAAGTGAAAAGGATTAAAGATGAGTGCGCAGTAAAGGGCACAGGGCGACTAAAGCCTTGGGAAGACAGCAAGCCGAAAGGAGAGTTGCTTGCCGGGGGAGAATGGTTGAAAGTAACTTTGGGGACTGAGAACAAAGAGATGTCCTGCTTGCTGTGTGTGGGGGCAGGACCCTGGGCACTGCAGACATCCCCCCCCCTCCCCCCCCACCCAGAAGTGCTTGTTCTGGAGAAAGTTGCCCATGTTAGTGGACAGACGTTGGTTGCAACCTCTCTCTCCTGCTTCAGCAGCTGCCGTGCTGGGCGCAGCTTGCCGGGGGACTGCAGCTCGTGCCGGGAGGGAGGCCGGGGCGCCTCTGCTCTGAGCACCATGTCGGGGTCTGTGCAGCAGCATCCGCTGGCTGGGGAGCAGGAACACACCCAGGGAGGAGAGCTGGAGTGGTGTGGAGGATCTGGATCCCGGAGGCAGGCATGGGATTTGTATGCTGGGGTGCAGCAGAGCAGCAAGCTCAGGATAGGGGGAACGCAGAAATTGGGGAGGTGAGAGGAGTTGAAAAAGTGAAGCTGAGGTCTTGTTTCATGGATTAGGATGGCATGGGGATGCACTGAGCCACTGATTCACAGAAACACTTTGTTTTTCAAAACCAACTTTACAGGAACGACTGTAAATAACAATTGTTTTGCTAAAGGATGCTGCCTCCTGCTTTTGGTACAAGGGCTAAAATATGCTTTTGTGATTTTCCCATTTTGCTCCCCCTCTACCAACCTATGACCTCTTACTGTATCTGTTTATTTCCAAGACAAGTCTATGGTATCCCTCTGTTTTGACAGAAGCAGTAAACCAACACCTTCTGCTGTCTCAACACTACATCCCTAAGGGCTTGGTGGGTTACGAGGTGAAATATATCCTATTTATATTCTCACTGAGCACAAGAATATGCAGTAGTGAATAATTTATTTTATTGACATTTTATTTTTGCAGAATAGACATTCGTACTAACATTTAGACAGCCTAGATTATAAGTGGGAAGCATAAAAAAATCATTAAAGTATATATATAAAGAATGTGATTACATGAGATCCAATCATCCTAATATACATCTTAAATGCTTTGACATTAAAGAAATTATTAAACCCAGGACATAATACACGACAAGGTTTACTGAGTATCACAGGGATCCAATCAGAAAAGCAGGACATTCGATATAGAGATTGGCCTTTTGGTTTGATAGTTATCCACTCTATGTCACGGTTTCCTACATCTGAAGTTCCTGTTCTCTGGGCTGCTAGAGAGCAGGTGGGTGTGATGTTAAAGTGAATGCGTACGATGAGGAGATATACCAGCACCACTCCACTTCAGCCCCCTCCCTTCTTACTCATGGAGCAGCGCTGAGTGCCATCTTGGATGAGATTGTACTTTCTGTCAGGGTAATCATAACTGTGTAACTATCTAAACAGCAGCCAAAGAGAGAGGAGAGTAATGGGCATGTTGGCCTGGTAAGGCTTTGCTGGTCACAGCTTCCCCTGCCGAAAAAGCTCCCACCGCAGTACACTGATAAGGAAAGAAGGTATTGAACAAAACTTTCTATCTGTTTCTGAAGCTCTGCCTTCCAAAGCAGAGATTGCCAGTACAGCAGTATTGGAAACTTTATACTAGTGCTGTGGAAAACAAACACTGCTTCCCAGGAGACTTCTCCTTCCTATCCATTTGGTGGTTTCTATTATCCCTTTGAAGTGCTGTAGCTGGTGTTTGGCAGCTGTATTTCTGTCCAGGCCATATGAGTTAGGTGGTAAAGAGTGTTTATCCAACACAGTGATGAGTCATCTCAAAAGAATCATAATTTGCCTTTAAAAGAAATAGGCATATAAAACTCTGGGTTTGGGAATAAGACTCACCCTTCATTCATTGAAGGAGTCAATAATAGGACTGAATATCCTACTACTGAGTACATCAGTGTATGTATACTTGTCTTCTGTCATTGGAGTCCTATATCCCCTGTTTTACAAGTCCTACATAATTGTTCTAGGGCATGAAAAAGCCATAGCCATAGAATTTGGAAGAGAGATCTGTTTCAGAGTTATGGTGTCACAGGGAAAGCAACAATAGAACAAAGCTAATCTTGCCTTTTAACTCACACTGATTTTCAGAACTGAAAAGCTTGCGCAGAAGACCTCCCTGTGGGTTTTCTTCATCGTTTTGCTATGGATCCTGGTTCTATGTATACACAAGTTTTCTCCTTTCTTTCATATGTGCAATGTACATTTAATATTTTGTCCCAACTCGCTTTGGTCTTGCATTTTTTTCTTTTTTTTTATTCTTTTTTTTTTATTTATTTATTCTTTTTTTTTTTCACTGGAGGTTATGTTTGGCTAGTGACGTTGCCGACTGCTGCCCATTCTGGAAAAGTATTCAGCTGGAAGAGTCTAATTCCCCAAGTGTTGATTGCCACCATGACAACAGCCAGGCCAATCAGGTTTACACCTAGGCCAGCTTTCACCTACAAAAGCAAAATGCATCAGTGCACAATCAATGACAACTTGATCAAAACCAGTTAACATGGAAAAAAGAAGGCAGTAGGGTGTGTGTATGTGTGTATTCTGACATTATATAGAGACATAAACTGCGTGTACTGATTTCTACAGCCAAAAAAAAAGCACAATGAGTATTACGTATATGTTGTGGGAGTATTCAGGAGTGATAGTCAGAGGCTGATGCAGCTAATTGGAAAACTGCTCAGTTTGTCACGTGAACTTCTCGATCACATAATCAGAATAGGATGTTATACCACACATAGCAGGGTAATAACCACATGACTTACTGTGGAGCTATGTGATAAATCTAAATTCTCATGCTCTCCTGTGCTTGTTTTAACAGGTCAATGTAAAGGATTGTGTACTCCTGTTCTTTGATAGCTCTTTAGACTATTGCATTCATAAAAAACAAAGATGAGAAATGTATGCATCCTGCAGCAGATGTGTGGATGTTCTTAACCTGACAGCTCAGTCACATTGCAGCAGTGCGGATCAGTATGACTTTATATTAGCACCAATATCATCATTATTATTGTTGGCTGCTGGATGTGGGGACAAGGTGTTGAAGTTGCATGAAGATAGGAGGATATACCCAATCTCAAGACTCACCATATCTTTAATCTGGCAGTGCCCATAACTGAAGACAATGGCATTTGGAGGATTACCCACTGGCAGCATCACCGCAAATGAGATACACATGGTGACAGGAATCAGGGTGTATAAAGGGTTGATAAGCAGGGTTTCTGACTGGAAGGAGAGAGGGAGGGAGGTGTTTCACTTAACCAGTAAAAGCCACTGCTCACGGTTAGGATGAGAGGACCCTCTCTGCTTTATGTGAAGATAAGATTCTGTGAATCTTACCTCCCTAGTTTCTAACCTTAACTGTGGAAGTCTTTTTTTGGTTTTTTTCTTAGAGTAGTGCTATAATTCGGAGGTGGTCATACTCCAGGGATTTCTCTTGAGACATTTCACACTGAGGGAGGGTGGAGATTGCTACTATTAGGCTGCTGTTACTCTTCCTCCCACTTGTTCTCCGTGTCATTCTGTGTTGTGTCTTCTGGATCTTAACACTGACTGCCACTTCATCTTCATCCAAGAGAAGTCACAACAGGTTGACATGAAGAACTTACTACTTTGAGTTGCTGAAGATACTGAGACCATCATGTTAAGTCCTCCTGAATAGTGGTTAAGAAAACTAGTTGTTTGTGGTCCAAACTTGCATGGCAAGAAAGCAGTGATGATGGAATATTCTTTACAATGGTCTAAAGAATTGTTCTTCCACTGCAGCCTTCAGTGGTGGTGAAATTTTGCATTTTCATTTACATTGCTATGGTCTAATTTTGTGTCAGAGGGAAAAGGAAAGGTATTCACAAGGCTAACTTCATTTTGGAGAGTGAAGTGTCTCCAGGTTACTTTTGCAGTCAAAAAAGAGAGACTGCCTTAAGATGGCAGTTCAGACTACTAAAAGTAGATTACTGCTCTAAATTTGTCTTTAGGAGAGTCTCTTTCTGCATGGAGCAGAGGTAAATCTGAACTCATAAGCCATACAAACATAATCATTTATTTTCATCTGACTGTATCTTCATATTGTCTCAGAGCGGT